GTTCACAAGTCTTAAAGTCTATATTCATTTTTGGTAACAAGTCATTGTCACGCATCCTCTTTAATTTGTCCTTATTTACATGGCCAAGTCTTAAATGCCATTTATATGAATCTAAGCAAATAGAAAAAGCACAATCAATATAAACAGAAGCATTGACAATTTTATTATTAACATTCAATCGATACAAACCATCTTCTCTAGTTCCCCACAAAAGGATTATCCCATGCTTCCCTATGGATACTTTTTCACTCCTAAAACGGACTTCAAACCCCTTTTCATCAAGACGAGGTATAGAAATGAGATTTTTCCTAAGGCTAGGAACATACAAAGTATCAGACAGAATAAAATCGGTCTCCTCTTTTATAGGAATTTTCACAATCACCACCCCTAGGGCATCACAATAAGAGTTGTTTCCCATAAATAATTTATGTTGCCCTGGTTGCAACTCTTTCAAGTCAAGGAAAGCTTCTTTGGATCCTGCAACATGTTGAGATGATCTGGAATCAATCCACCAAGAGCTCGAGTCAGAATCAGCTATGAATGACTCTGAAACCACACAAATTATGTCCTTGGTGTTAGTATCAGGATTTTGTTTCTTTTTAGAGCAATTATATTTGGTGTGTCCCGGAGCACCACAGTTGAAACAAATCACTTTCTTCTTTCCTTTATTAAAGTTAGTCTTTTTGAACCATTTTCCTTTTCCTTTCTGAAATTTAGGTTTAGGCTTCTCACCTGATTTAGTTGGTTCGGATGTAGTGTGTTTAGTAACTAAGGCTTGAGAGTTATTCTTTTTATTTCTTCTCTCAGCCTCAACAGCAAGTAACATGGGGAGATTCTACATAGTGATGTTTTGGCCAGAGAGGTTAAGGGTCATCACTACTTGTTCCCAAGATTTTGGTAAACTATGTAGAATTGTAGACACTTGTACTTTGTCTGGGATGGAATTTCCTACAGTTGCTAATTTTTTAGCTATTACTATCATTTTGTTAACATTTTCAACAATAGGATCATCTTCTTTTATTGCAAAACCATAAAATTTTTCTATCAAAAACTGAATGTAAGATTTAGTAACCTTCCCATAAGTTTCAGTAACAGCATCAAACATATTTTTGGAATATTGATGTTCTTCAAATCACATTTCAATATGGTTCCATAAAAGTTAGAATAGTAGAACGGAGCTATTTTATTATGTTTTTTGGTATTTATTATGTTTTTTGGTTTCAACAAGAGTGGCATTTTCACTAGGAATTGGAGGAATAGCATCATTTAATATGTAGTCTAAACAATCTTGAGCAAGTATGTGTGCACTCCTCCTTTTCCAGATTGGATAATTTGTCCCATTAAGTTTTTTGGTTCTACTTAACTCTGCAGCCACAGCTTTACTAGCCATTTCTAATATGCAAATGTAATTTGAATAGGAAATAGGGGTACTTAGCTCTGATTATGCCAGACCATGGCTATTGCTAGTTGTTGTTAGTTTCCTCCACTGGTTATGCCAGACCATGAATAAGTATGACCAAAAAAAGATTCTCCATCATTCACAAAAAAGGATAGGGTTGCTCATGGGTCGGGTTGGGTCGGTTTACTGCGATTTTTCCAACCGACCCGACCTGGTCGGGTTACCTAACATAGAAACCAAAACTGACCCAGTGTTAAGCAAAACCGACCTGGTCGGTTTCGGTCGATTTCGGTTCTAAGTTCATCCTTGTGATAAAATCTTGCTAATTTTAAAAACTGTCATAAATTGAACATCATTTCAGCCATCTCCTATGATAAAATTTAAATGAAAAGTTAATCACAAAAGTTGTTCATTAATCACTATTCACTAATCCAAAGTTTCTTAAAACCATTCAAAAACTGGGTGGCCTAATGGGCTTTGGAACTTCATGTTTGAACTAGGAACTAAGTCGGTTTGGTTTAGGTCGGTTTCGGTTTTCTTGTGTGAAAACCGAAACCGACCCGAATCATCGGTTTAGGAATTTGCACAACCCGAAACCGACCCGTGCTGATGAAAACCCGGCTGACTCGGGTTGGGTCAGTTCGAGTTGGTCAGTTTGGTCGGGTTGGGCCTTCTTATGAACAGCCCTAGAAAAGGATTCCTTTACCTCATAATAATAAAAGAAAATAAAAGATAAAATACAATAACCAACCTACACATGTAGGTTTCACAAATAATACAAAACAAAGTTGGCATGTCAAATATGTTTTCATACCATATTCATCAATCATAGAAGACTGATGATGCATGCCTTAACAAAGTTCCAAGCATGGTTTAAAGTATTGATACACAGGAAATGCAAAAATTGCAAGAGGGGTTCTTATATTTGTATACAAATTACAAAGACCCCTCCAAAATCTATGTAAATAGCACTTCAGTGGGTTCAAAAATCGATATGTTTCATATTATATATACCAATAATTGTGATATTTTGAACCTTCTGCTGCGTTTGGAATCAGTGTAAAACGTCGTCAGTGTAAAAATACACCGATAACGTTTTACAGTGAACGTGAAAGTGACCGTTGCTTTTTGAAAAACGCAATGGATGGAAGAGTGTAAAGTTTTACATCGATTATCGACGTAAAACTCCACTCCATCCAAACGCATGCAAAACTGAACCGGAGTGGAGTTTTACGTCGACTATAATTACACGCTCCTTCCAAATGCCTACAAAACCAAATCGATGTAAATATTACATTGATTCTTGATTTACATCGCTTCTAAATGCAGCCTTAAGCTCAATTTGAGAAGAGTGCCAATACAAATATGTACAATGCAAATATACAATATACAAGGCTTTGCACTGTACATATTTATAGAGTGACTCTAGAAATACAGAGAGGTTCCAACAAGATCTATGGTATACTTGGTGCTCATCCAATCAAATATCTCTTAAAATTAGTCTTCCATAGGGATCTGAGGGACCACAAAACCCTGAGATGATGTTTTTTTTTTTCTTTTTGCTATACATTATTATCAGCTATTTGGTCTTGTCAAACTCTTGGAACCTTGTTATGTTCTCCCCTTTCCAGAGCTCCTGCTTATCCCTTACACCCTGTAATGGTTGGCTGGAAAAAGCTATTTGGTTTGGATAAATTCCTCCTACAGTTATGGCATTTTGTTGGGAGATGATGCTAACATAAACATAAAGGTTTACACTTTTGAGCTGCATAGTGAATTTTGACCGCGGATGCTTTTTGTTGTAACTACTTCCCTATTGAATGGGAAACCTAGGACTTTTCAGTAAAGGTGATATGGGTAAATCTTCCTTGCACTCCATGAGAGCAGGGCCTTCAGCCTTTGTTCAAGGTCTTGGACTGATGTTTTCTTTGGGCCATGATCAGAGATGGAGGGAGATTCATAGGGTTAATGTGTCATTTATCTGAGAGCTCATGGACTCTACACCATTGATTATAGAAGCAAGATCTCTGGCTTCTAACATCAACATCTCATCTATGTGGGTACCGCACAGTCTAATACCTTTGTGTAGGATGGGTTTCTTGGCATAATTTTCTTTGGGCTGTACTTGTATCCTTTTTAGCTTTCTGTTGCCTTTTGAGAAGAGGAAAACGTTTCTTTGTTTGTTCATCCCTAAAATAGAAAAAGAGAAAGAAATGAAGACCAATGGCACTAAGTTCTGAACTCCTTTGCTTCCTCTAGCTTCCCACCATACATGCATAGTGCTAAAGTTTCACCACAATGAACTTGTCCTGATTCAGTAATTCAATAAAGTGTTTCCCCTTATCTAGCTAGTAGAGTAATATTAAGCAAGCCAATGTATATAATTCATCAGGAGGTACCTTCTCTTGTACCATTTGGTCAAAGAATTTCACATGCTGTGTGCATCCAACAATGTTAGATCTTCATTTTACAATGTCTCTTTTGCTCATTTTTTTTATGAATAGGAATATTATATTCCATGAGACCACAATTCAAAAAATTACTTAACTCGGGTAAATTATAGATTGACATCCTGTACTTTGAGGAGAGTGACACTTAGCCCTCAGAACTTTCATTTGTGACAAACCCCTGAACTTTTAGATTACAACACTTTGCCCCTGCTCTTAGCATTCCATCAGTTAAATTTAAAAAATATTCTCATGTGACTGTGATGTGTTTGTTTAGACATTGTTAAAACCCCAAACTACCCTTATAACATGGTATGAGACTATTATGTAGAAAATTGATGAAATACAAAAACTAAGAAAATGTAAAAGTGGGTAATTGCAAAAAAAAAAAAATATGGGAAATACTAGAAAACATGAAGAAAGAAAATACAATATATAAAAAGCGAAAATATGACAAAATAACCGAGGAAAATAAACAGAAGAAACAAAATAATACAAAAAACACTAAATAGTGCAAAAATGAAAAATACCATGCTTTGTTGTTTCTTTGATATATATATCAACAACTCTGGTTTTCCAAATTGACCACGTGAAGGGAATGGAAAATGTAACTGTCCCTCGTTTACTCCTGTTACTGTGTGTGTTACATTAGGGCAAAGCAAAAACCCATTAAGAAGAAAGTTTTTTTTCGGGCTTGGGCTTGGGTGAATGGACCAACCAGCCTGATTTGGTATATTGTACTGGAAGAGTTAAGCATCGGACACAGACAGACAATGTAGGAAGTGAGCGTTTAGGAATCAGGAATAAACTTGGAAAGCTTGTTAAGAATGGTGGATGGGAGATACTTCACCATTACTGTTGCATGCTCTAAAGCTGTGGGGGAAGCGGAACCTCAAGGTTTAACTTGCATTTCTTTCAAATTTCGTAATTCTTCTATTGTTGTTGGACTTGGTACTTTTCTCACGTTCTCGGTTGTTTTGTTTGGCAGATTACATGGAGACAACCTAAAAAGTTGATGTTATTTTCTCCTATGATCTCGGGAGGTAGTGAAGTAGACTATAAAATAGCCTTGATTTAAAACAACACTTTGTATTAATGAAATGACTGCCAGACAAATTTGACAAATTTTCAGGTAAAAAACAACACTCTATTAATCAAAATCTAAAAAACTTTCGATTATATGATGTGACAACTCATAATTCACATCAATTTCTACAACACTAAAGAAGTATCTATCTATATCACCAATTTCAATTTGTATTTGCATTGATTAATGATAAAAATAAATGATACCAAAAACATCACCGGGGCCGGGCTAGGTCAAATATGGAGGGGGTCACTTTTGTTCATATCGCTCTTCAAAGTTGAAACAAAAGTCACTCATCATTATGATGATGTATATATTATACACACCTGGTTCCCCCCATCATGGTCACGGGGGCATTGAAAATGATGCCCACGCCATCCCTTTTCAATACGAGACCAACGTGTGACCTGATGACCTTATATCAAGAAATAACTGATTCTCACTGAATTCGAGATCTTAAGACTTTTTGAGTTCAAACTTCAAAGTGGAGTTGCCCACATCCACTTTGAAGCTTAGAAAGCACCACAGGGAAAAGAGTAAAGACCCATGTGCATGTAGGTTTATGCTAATGTACGCACATGTGCATGTAGGCTTAGGAAGCACCACAGGGAGGGAAAAGAGGAAACACCCATTTCAAAGATTTTCTTTTCTTTTCTCTCTCTCTCTCTCTCTTTTAACAAAGGAATGTATTATTTTCACTAAAAATATTTAATTAGTTTACTCTGATTGGTACACCCCCGACCCATGTGCATGTAGGTTTATGCTAATGTACGCACATGTGCATGTAGGCTTAGGAAGCACCACAGGGAGGGAAAAGAGTAAACACCCATTTCAAAGATTTTCTTTTCTTTTCTTTTCTCTCTCTCTCTCTCTCTCTCTTTTAACAATGGAATGTATTATTTTCACTAAAAATATTTAATTAGTTTACTCTGATTGGTACACCCCCATCTGATCCAACTGTGAAACACAACCTCATCCCCCCAGGTCCCAGCCCCAGACAAAGCTGCCTCGTCAGCCCAAACCCAAACCACACCCTCTCCTCCCCCTTATCCTCTCTTCTTTTTTCTTTGCCTGCCTTCTCTCTTTACTTTTGATCCATCCCTTCCTCGTAAAATTACAAAATCGCACCCCGCCCCCCTTGTTTCTCTCTTCATGGGGCTCCTCCCTCCGATTGATTCCTTGGACAACAAGCAACCCCTTTCTTCTTTCTTCCATTTCCCTAGTAGAGCTAGTACATCCTTGACATGCCAAACTGAACTGTGCCCACCTTTCTATGTGCAGCTGCTGTAGTAGCGGAAGCACCAAACTGTGATTTTGCCTGTAAAAGGTTCATATCAACAGCAATTCGATCATCTACTACTACTTGTTCAGCTTTGGCAACTTCTCGAGATAGATAATATGGTGAAGAGTTGACGTCAATGGCTATTTCTGGGGCCATCTTCACTGCCATGCTGCATTGTGCCGGCTGTGGTTTGCCCTGCAACAAGTCCCTCTCAGCCTCTGTGCCAGAGCTTCTTTCTTGCTTTGTGCCAGTCCTGCGGAAAGAATATGGAGGTGGGACAGCCTGAGGAGGAAGAACTGCATTTCTGATCATCATTGCATCATAGCCATCTTTCATGCTACTTGCACCTTCGTATGGCATAACTGGTCCCACAACTTTTCCGGGTTTAGCTGAACAGCAGGCCAACCAACATAATTCACACACCCATATTAGCATACAAACCATGGAACCACTGGCAAATGAATTTAAGACAAAATGTGCAGCATGTTTGTCCTAACAAAATACAAGCTATGGTAAGGTTGGGCCGACTTTTAGACTGAGTTGGGTGTAAATCCCTTGGCATAAACTATCCTTGGTTGTACCCACTAAATAGATACTTTCTACTCATCAATCACTGAAAGAAAGAATGTATTTTCTCCTGGACCTCCTTCAACTGAAGATCTGAAAATTTTGATGGCTGCCATTATGGAGAATCACCAATTCACCATAGGAAAGAAAGGTGCATAGTAGGCCACATGTGTTCACAGGAGCACCAGCATTTCACAAATCCAAGTCAAGGGCTCCATAGGATAAACCAACCAAGGAATTAGATTAACCTTTTTCTCATATCTAGAATAATGGTACATTAGCATTTTAATTTTCACACTTGCACCTTGTACTGTATTATGGTCGCAGTATGAATTTGTGATGATCAGTGGTTCCAATATGAACAGTTCAACAGAATGAAATCATGTGCACACGAGAGAGAGAGAGAGAGAGAGAGAGAGAAAGTGAGAACTCCTACCCAATGGAATCTTATGCGGTGCTTGCAAAGTCCTAGGAATACTTCCAGAAACTCCCTCCATATTTCTGGAGCTTTTATTACAGGCCTCTTCTTGGATTTGTCTCTCTCTCAAAGAAGCCAAGCTTGTTTGATCCTTGGGGGGAATTGTATTGGAATGGACAACTGTTGATCTGAAAAAAAAAAAAAAAAAACACATTGGAAAATCACCTATAACCATTTATTTAAATTTTAAAGATGCCATTCACATTATCAATTACAACCACCTATTAGGAGTCACTTGTAACCAGGAAAGTGTACCATATCTGATTATTTATGTTATGTAACATGTCTACTTAGAGCAATGGGGAAATGGTTAAAATTGCTCATACATTCTAAAAGTGGCTTGTCAAAAATGAACTCAGCCAAGGAAATTACCTCGGCAGAGAAACATGCTTCCTCTCCAATGGAATCACTGGCCCACTTTTACCACCATTTTCTTCAAGATGTGCAAACTGTTTTCTGAATTGATCAACAGCACTGTATACAGAAGATGTACAAAACACATCAGTTTACTGGAGAAATAAACATCATTGCTATTCATCTAAAATGCAACAACATAGGAGGGAAAAAATAATATATAGACAGCATTACAACCTAGGATAGAGAAAACTTGTCCTCTCAGTTCCATTCATGTAATCCTTCAGCAGCTGTTGATGATATTCTAAAATCTCCCTGAATATTAGCTCCCTGATGTCCTCCTTTGTCACCCTCCGTCTCTCAAACTCAAATTCTAGCTTTGCAATTGGCTGGCAGGATGGTTCCCTCTCAACTTTTGCCAGGCCTTTAAAGTAAGGATCAGCTAATGCCTGGAAGAACCACACAACAATCAGTGCCATACTGGAAACACTTCGACTCAAATGACTCAAAAGTAGAATTACTAAGATATGGCCTACATCAAATAAGCCCCAGCTCCATTATATGACTGGTGTGGCCATATGCATTGTTGAGGTCAACGTTCATGACACTAGTAGGTGAGATACTAAGATGCATGTGAAGAGATGGCATGCTTCGGCAGAATGATTCTAACCCACACAAAGTAAAAAGTATAAAACATTTGACTATAAGATCTGGTTACTGAAGCTAACAACTAGCCTTTCTTTCACAGATATCCTATGTGTGAACTAAACAAAAGCTCCTATAACTTGTGCAATATTCTAAAAGATGGGAGTCCCTGTAACCATCCCATTATACAAACCTCTTCGGCAGTTGGTCGGTCTTTTGGATCAAATGCTAACAACCTTTCCAACAGTTTGAGTGCTAAAGGATCTGCATTTGGAAACTTCTGCACAAATGGCACAGGCTGTTTTTTCCTCATGCTGGTTAAGTATCTCCTTGCCTTCTCATTGCGGACCTGAGTACAGTGCAAAAGTTAAGCTTATACTTCATTGATATGATTCAAATATGAAATTCATTTGCTGAAATAAAAGTCATGCCATACCCGTGAGATGGTATCCATGGAAGGTGTTCCAAGCAAATCTGTCATCAAATCCAACTGATGAACAACATTTTTACCAGGAAATAGAGGTTTCCCTGTTAATACCTCAGCGAATATGCAGCCTATGCTCCAAATATCAATTGCAGGGGTATACTGTAACCCAGAAGCCATACTAGTTAAATCATGCCATCAAAAAATGGAAATTTGATACTGCAGTAAAATGCACAAGCAAAACTAACATCAAAACAGACCAGACACATTTACCTGAACAGAAAGATATTTCAACTTGCAGGAGAGTTCAATATCCCTTCCTGAACAAGAATTATTTTAATCTAGGAATTACTATTTACTTATATAGTTAAAGACACTCCTTAAATAAATGCAGTTACTGAACTAAAGAAGCTAGTCTTTCAAACATCACTTACAAAATACAATCACATACAAATGACCATCTTGTCAATTGGGATTTGGTTTGTAGAAGAAAGAAGGATGGAGGTCTAGGTTTGGGGAATTTGAGTTTAAAGAACTTGGCACTTTTGGGAAAGTGACTTTGGAGATACCCCATTGACGTGGATAAACTGTGGCATTTGGTTATAAGGAGAATCATGGAAAGGATTCTAATGGCTGGGACCCTGAACTGTCTACAAGAACTACTTTAGCTTCCCTTTGGAAATCCCATTGCAGGTCTGTTACCGTTGTTCCTGAGACATATTACTATTAGGTATGACTTATGTTCTAATAATAAAATCAAATTCTGGGAAGGCCTCTGGGTGAGGGATAACACTCTAAAAAACCTTTTCCCTAGTTTGCATAACCTGTCTTCCTTCAAGAACTTGATGGTTTCATATTTTGTATCATTCTCTTCGATGGGACTGAACTGGGATCTTGGTTTCAGAAGCAGTTTAAGGATATCCTCCATGTGTCTGACATCCTTAAAATACTGGATGGTGTGATCCTTGATCCCTCCAAGAATGACAAATGAATTTGGATTCTTTAATCCTCCAGATCCTACTCTTGCAGCTCATATTTTGATGACCTTCTTTCTTCATCTTTGCCTTCTACTTCTTTAGCCTTTCCTATTCTTGAGGTTTGGAGAGGTCCTGTGACACCTAAAGCGAGGCCTTTTTGTTGGCAAGTTTACCAAATGAAAATTAAGTGAGAATGTTCAGAGGAAGAGACTAGATTGGTGATTATCTCCTCGTGCCTGCTCCCTTTGTTTGGCTCATGGGGAAGATGCATACCACTTGCTAATCTCCTGTACTTTTGTGGTGAAAATTTGGGAGTGGTTCCTTGAGATGTTTGGTATTAGGTGGATACCACCTCCTACTATGAGTGGTCTTCTCCAACCTAACTTTGTTAACCTTCGCGCTAGAAGAGCAAGAATGATGTGGACATGCAAGAGAGCAGCCATCCTTTGGAAAAAAAGGGGAGGAGAGAAACGTGAAGCTCTTCAATAATGAAGAAAGATCCTTTGAATTCAATTGGTGAAGACATTGATGGTGTTTGAACCTTGTTTTCAGTGGAAGACATTGTAAAAAATTGAAAAATAACAGTTCCATCTTCTCTTCCCAAATCTTCAGTCTCTGTACCATGGTCACCCCCCCCAAGACAATTTGTTGAAATTGAACTTTGATGGATGCAGCAGAGGCAACTGGCAACCCAGGACCTGCTGGGGTTGGGGGAGCATTCAAAGACTCACAGGACAACATTGTGGCATTGTATTTCAGGTCCCATCGGCAGAAGAAATTCCATAGAGGCAAAGATTAATAATGCGGTTGTGCAAGGCCTCAGGATAGCTAGAAGCTGTAAGTTCCAAAACTTAATCATAGAAGGAGATTCCAAGGTGGTGGTACAATGGTTGAAAAATTGTGAGTTAGACAATAGAGTCGTAGACATACAGGAACACAATGAAAAGATCAGAATGTTGATTAAAGACAGAGTGGTAGATGTAATAAGATGGATTTTCAGATCAGCGAATGAGATTGCTAGTACGTTGGGAAAACAAGGGATTGATAGAGATGATCTGTTTTGGGGCATGATAGGGGAGATTGTGTGAAAATCCGTAAGATCATCTAACTCCAAGTGTGGGGAACCCCTCCCCACTGTGGGAATGCTTGGCATCTTTGTACACATTTATTTCTTTCTTTAATAAATTCTGTTATTCATTAAAAAAATGATGCTGTGGTAGATTTGGCTGATGTCTAGCTTGTAATAAATATTATTACAATTCATTTTTATTTGCTAAATAGGTCACAGAAATTTGATAAATAGTTCCAATGAACAATCATCAATAACAAATTCACTATAGGTCACCTTGCAAAATAAAATGGAGGAATCAGGGGGGGGGTTCCTTGGGGAGCAAGAAACAAATAATTAGCAGATAAATCAAGATGTATCTATGAAGTGAAACAAACTTGATTTTCAAGAAGCAACGTCAGACATTCAACCATTTGGTTAAAAAGGAAAGGTGGATGAGACAACAAAAAGATGTCAGGCCTTTGGGAAAACTAAAAAAGATACATTGCACCAATTAAATGGTCAAGCTTATAATGAAGTAAATCTGTAAATGCATATGAAACCAAGCATCCGACTGGATCAATATCAAAATATTAAAAAGAAAATGTTTCTTAAGCATTCATTCAAAACTTTCCCTGCAAACCAATTGATTTGGTCAGTATATTCATGTACCACAACATGCAACAATAACAGGATGTTCTAAAACTGATTCCAGAATTAATGTGAGCCAAGAAAAAAACGAAATTGCTTTAAAGTTTAAGTGAGAATAACCTAAAATACAATCATTTATATAAACATTACATAAACATGCCATGGTAAAATTATGGTATTCTATAAATTGCAAAATTTGATTTTTGTGACAAAAAAAAAACTCAAAATGCCTTATCAAATAAAAACAAAAAGAAAAAAAAAAAAACCCACATCACAATACCTTAGAAAAAAATGATCCACAAAGCTCTGGAGCTCTGTACCATCTTGTTGCAACATAATCCTGCAAAATTGAATGTTTTAGAGAAACAATCATAACAACAATAAATAATAACATCTTCTACCCAAATTTGCTCTGGGAATGAAAAATAAGAATATCCTACTGATAAAAAGAAAAGAATACAGTGTATATATTTGATAACATACCGTCCAAAATATTGTGGTAGGAGCATCATTGAATGCAACTCTTGCTAACCCAAAATCACAGATTTTGAGTTTACAATTTGCATTTGCTAATATATTCTTTGGTTTTAAGTCTCGATGGTAGACATTAGCTGCACCAAACAAATTTAAAGTTAAAGCCTCAAATATTGTTTCAAAACCAAATGCACAAAATAAACACCAATACAACATGCATTTCAGAAAGAAGAGGGCAGACAAAATAGCATGTTCTGATGTGGTAAATGGAAAACAATTTGAAGGTGTATGAGCTTTCAATGAGAAGGGGTTGGGATAGGATAAAATGGATGAATGAAACACAATTAGACATTCATGACAATGACAACAACAACAGCAATAATGACAATGAACTCATAAACAAATAAGATAATAATCTGTTGCAGACATAAGCAATAGCAATAAAACAGTAAAGAACTATCAAGTTACCTGTATGAATATATTTCAATGCACGTAACAGCTGGTAAAGAAAAAACTGATAATGTTCCCGTGTCAAGTCATCATTGGCTTTGATGACTTGGTGAAGATCTGACTCCATGAGCTCAAAAACAACATAAATATCCTTGAAGTCCCTTCTTGAGGGTGGTAACATGATATGTTTTATTTCAACAATGTCAGGATGCCGTAGAAGTCTGAGCAGCTTGATCTCACGTAAGATTCGGGCAGCATCTGATATGTGCTCAAAAATATCATGTATTTTCTTTATTGCCACCTTTTCTCCCGTATGTGTGTCAATGGCTGAGCAAACAACACCATAGCTTCCCTTCCCTATTACCTCCTGAATTTTGTATCTGTTGGCATCACCATACTCAGCAAAGAAATCCATCTCTGTTGGATTCTGTAGAATAAAGAACAAAATCAGATTTCTTAATTAATATTTAACATGCCCATTCCCCATATTGGTTCAACAGAAGTAGCACATGGTAATCAAAAAAACAAAAAGATAATAAAAGGCATAACTATTCTAACAATAAGAGCAAGAGATAAATAACAAGCGAAGAACTTCGTTTTACTACAAAAAAACACCACCCAACTCTACCTCGAAGAGATAAACTCTAATTTTAGAATAAGAAATGATGGAGAAAGAACTCTTTTGAGGATGAAAAGAGTATACACAATCACAAAGCAAAGAAACTGTCTAAAAATGAGGAAATATATATATTTAATTCTAGACTTACATAGTTCATGCAGCACCAACCATCAATCAGCTCTCTATCAGTTTATCTACCAATGAAGGATAGTATTTCTCTCTATGAATATAGCAGCTTTAATAATCAATCACACCAGTTCACTAGAAGTTGATTGGGCAATAATGAATTGCATTTCTATGTACGGACATAGCATTCATTTTCTTTCAAACAGAACATGTATGCTGATCACGAACATTATATGAGAACTTCATATTTATTTATGGGGAATCCCAGCAAATGATGTTAGACAAATTGTTAAAGGAAGTGGCAAACAACATCCAAGCCTTTAGCTTCACATAGCACGAGACAACAAAATTTCCTACAACTTTGAAGAAATATCTAGCAACGCTCCAACTATTAGAAAAAATAAAACAAATAATTTTTTTTTCGTTTAATATAAAAGTACGCAGCCATGGGACACCAGAAAAAAGATGAACTGTGTTCCCGACCAAGAAAACTAGTCAAATAGAAAGACAAATATGATACCAAGAAAATTATGACTAAGAGACAGAATCAGGTTCTACAGAGAGATAATTGCTAAATCACGTAATGGCAGTGAAACCTAAGATGATTGTACAGAGGTATATGCTTCATCCTACCGGAATTAGGACATCAATCTTGTGAAAAAAGAACGCTTTTTTGTTGATCAATAGAAATAACACGAAATTTAAAAAATAAAAGTACCAGTTCAGAAAACAATTAAAAAAGAAGGGGATCTGAAAAGAAAGCGAATCATGGACAGAATAATTGGTCTTTATGAGATATTTCAGCTTATCAACCTAAGGTGCGCTTATAGATCCATCAAATCACTCTCAATTGGTAGACAGATAGAATCGACCAGCTCAGTTCGTCCAAAGACCCAATTTTTAGCCAGAAAAAAAAAAGAATAAGATGAAATTAAGTCAATGATTCAAAGTGAGTTAATCCTTTTATAGTCCAGAATCCAGATCTCACACGAGGACCATTCCTTCAAAGCCCAAAAATTCAAGAAAGAGAACCAACAGAAAAGAGATCAACAGACGCTAACCTTCTTTCGCTGATCTTGCTGCATTTTCACAATCTCTATCTTCACCCTTGCAAAACAACCACTGTACGTATATCTTGCTCTGTGCTCATAACCAAACTCGAACTCAGAAAGGAAAGGTACCAACCGTAGCGGAAATTAGCCACATTTCCCCCATCTACCCCTGCTCCGTATAACAAGCCCACAGTCGCGCCTTACTCTCTTGGAATTCTTGATGAAACATAGAAACCAAACCAAATCCCTCATGCACTCCTCCTCCTCAGCTGCCTTGTAAACCCTAAAAACCACAAAGACGAAGGCAACAACGACGATCATAGAGTGATCAGCCGCCTCATCAACTTCAGCATCGCCGGATCAAATAACCCAAATCCCAACTGAAACATGTACAGGTAGATCGATACTCCAAACTACAGATAGATAGATAAATACACGCGTTCTTTCTTTCTTTTCTCTGTTCTTTCACGCGGACTTCATGCCAGACAAACTTATAAAAAAAAAATGCAGAGAGCTGGCGAATGTCGATTCTTTGTTACAAACAAGAGAATCAATGGAGATTAGGGTTTCGTCAACCCTAGGCTTCAGAAGATCTCAGCACAGAGACCAGAGAAAGAAAGAAGATAGAGACAGAGCGAAGATAAATCAGTGGTTTCTGCCATGAATATAGAGCTATTTGTACTTGTCTTCTTTGGTCCGAATCGTATATACGTATTCCGTATACGGATTAGATACGGCAGTGGCCGTACATGGTAATTAACGCAAACAATGAGTCTTTTTCGGCAAGAAAAGGTTTCGGCAGGTGAGCGGAAGTGGATAATGGAATATTCTTTGCTCATCGGCTAATGGTTATTGGTTAAACTTAAAACTTGAAAGGCGTTAAGCTGCCGAATTTATCCTTTTCCTTCTGGATAATATTGTAAATAAAAAATTATTCATTTCCAATATTTATCGATGGCGAATATTATGTACACGTGTCGCGTTGTAGGCAATCTGGAGACAGATATCGGAACCGTCTGGTGAGGAAAGGGACCCACGATCTAACGGTCAGAAGGGAAATTTTAGATTTTGATCACGTTGAGCACATGTTAGGCGTTTCGCGGTTCGGCGGTTCCTTGCATGAGTAGCTTTCGCCATTCCAACTAGGAAGCAAATTAATAATGGTCAATGACTCGATGCTGTGCTAGTTGGGTTTGGGGGACGTGACCGACTCGGCCAAATTGGTCGGATCGGTTCGACCTGACCCGTTGACTGAGAAGAGAAACGTGGGGGAGACCATCATTTTCATTGAATATGGCGTTGTTGGACTTTTGGGTGGATCCAAACACGAAATGATTGATTTTTATAATTATTTTTGCATTTAATAAAGATAGATTTATTAGTGGAAAATAAGAGGTTTAACAAACAAGTCTCTAGGTTAACATTAAGTCCCATGTCCTTTTCATCAATCATTTAAGACTTTTTTCCTTGTATCTATCTTCTTTTTAAAAGGAACTAATCACAAAGAATGAATCCAAATTGAATAGTTCTATTCAAAGGTTCAAAATATCAATACGTATCTCACAGTATATCGATTTCTGGATTGTAGGCAAAAAGTAGAGAAAGAAAGGGAAAACCAAACACAGCCTTAGTGTTTAACATGTTTTCTGAAAAGGCCCCAAGGAAAATCATTCAACCATGCTCAGTTGAAAAGTCTAACAGGCCAAGTATGTATCCTATAAAGAGAAAGGCCGATCGAAAAATGAGCATGAATGGCATTTATTGAAATTTAATAAAGAACCTTTACAAGTTGTTGAAATATCTTCATACCTACATTCATACTTTAATCCTTGATTCTTTTATAAGAAAAAAAAAATTTGTATGCAATCGCTTCTTCATCCTCTTTTTCTTCATCAAATCAATGTACTAATTATGGGTATGCAAGGTGCCAACTAGCGGGTTGGTAAGGTTTCTTATTGGTTGCAGTGGAGACTTGGGATTGAATCCCACCTATAAGGCTGCAACAAGGTTAGGGGATGGGCTATCCTTTTAAGGAGCATTATTTTTAATCTAAATAACAATAAATAAGTGAAATCTTCATTTACCCCCACCTTGCAAATTTTTATTTCACCGTACAAATTTTCATGTAGTGAAAGGTAACTTTTTACTGCAATCAAACAAAAAACGGTAAATTTTAAAATAAAAATAAATTACAATTTGCACCAAAACCATTTGCACTATGTACCATGATTTTGCATCAGTGCAAATAAATTTGCATTGCAACCAAACACAGTCAAAATGATTTGTTGATGGTGCTATTTTTGTAATCACAAGTGGGAAATATGGACAAAATATTTGTTGTAAAACCTAATGAATTATTAATTTTAAATTAGTTTATAAATGTCCAAAAATGTACTATTCCATCCTTGTATCTATATTTTGATGATTAAGAGTATCTCGTCACCCATCTCAAATGCCAACATAAAGGAAAGCACAAAATGAAATGAATTCATTTCCACTTCATAACCAAACACCCTCACAAGTTTTTTTTTTCTCCTTTTTTTCTTTTCATCCCTCTAAAGTGTTTTAAATTATATCAATTGTTCCAATAGAATTTGGCACACAATGGAAATGAACTCATTGGGCAATTTCAACTAGAGACAACACCACCTAATAAAGCTTGGAAAGGATGGTTGCTTGTTCCATCCAAAATCTATCTACCTCTATAGCTCTATCATATAAATATTGCCTAAAAAATAAGCTTTCCAAATTAAAGCAAGAAAAGCAAAAGGGAGAACAAAACCTACATTTACATGCAATGTTTTCTTTAGGCTCGGTTTGGAAGGAGTGTAAATACAAATATGTACAGTACTCCAGGTATAATTTGGATTGGCTAACCCCAAGGTTCGAAGTATTGATACATCCCGTTACAATGGAAGGGGTGTATTGGTACCTTGTACCATGTGCTTTTTAATCTGTTTTTTTAATATTTCCTAAAATTAGTCTGAGGGATAGGTTTAAGCATATATTAATATATAAATTATTTGGAGATTAACCTTAAAAAAGGTGTATCAACACCTTGCCGATATGATACAGTACGGCCAATACAAGATATATCGTGTTGATACTTTGAACTTTGGTTAACCCTAAGCAACCCTAAAAAAGGGGGAATAGACGTGGATTTAATTTAAATTGGATTAGGGTTAAAGATGCAAAATTCCAGCCTATATAAAGTTGGGTATTCTTCTTTTTTTTTTATTAACCGGATTAAGTTTGATGTATTTGGCCAACCAGACCCACATGAACCCAATGTACACTTGCATATTCTTTTGTTTTTTTTCTTTGTTTTTGGCAAAGGGGAGAGAAATTATATTATAAACTAAAAGAAAGTTACACATCCACTCTGATTCTGGCCCAACAAAGTAGTTCTCAAGCCAGTCAAAAGAGTTTTCAGATGTTCTACTGCACCTAATGTTTCTTGATTTCTCTGCCCCACTAGATGAGCCATTACAGGACTATACAAACATCAAAGTATTTCATATGATATACAATTTCTTCAATTAGTAACTGTTCCATCCATTTGTTATTTGTATCTGATTTGATAACTATTGCACTAATTATCTAGCACAATCCGATAAGCAAAGGATTAATGAACACAGAACAAAAGCTTGAACAACACAGCTTTGCTCTATTGCTACAACAAAATTTTTATATGAGATAGAACAATAAAATCCATTGCAGGGTGAAGATTATTCACAAATGAGCCATCAGCAAATATTACATGCAGGTCACTTTGATCAATCAAAGCATGAATGGATTGAGGATTTTCATGAGAGTGTACCATCAGCTTGCAATCACTCACATGTTCTGGAATGAAGTAATAGTTAAGTTTTGTCATAACCTGTGCAGGATTGGAGATATCTTCTCTAAAGGATTTGTTATTTCTTGCTTCCCAAATCAGTCTGATGAGAATAAGCCGTTTGGACAGGCACCACTGTTGTGTTTTTCTATCGACTAGCTTGTTAATTTCCAACCGATGATCCACTGTATCCATTTGGTGTTCACTATAAAACCAATGTTGGCTTGAATCCAAATAGATTTTGCAAAAGGAGATAATGTGTATTCTCTCCATCTTCACCACAAAGAATACAGTACTCTTTTTCTGAGGTGATTCCTCGAGTAAAATTTAGGGTCCGCTTGATTTGCAGTGGGAGTTGGAATCGGAATCGAAATTATTTGGAATCCGAAATCAGAATGGTTTATTCCCATAATCTATTTGGCTCAGACAGGAATAGGAATGGGAATTGGAATTAGCATGAATGAGATTTCATTCTCAAGAGAGGGACAGGGAATGGCCATTCCCTCAAATTAAGGAATACCATTATAACAAGAATGGGAATGAGATTCCAATTCCACTCAACCAAACAATTGGAATCAGAATAACCCATTCCGATTCCGATTCCAAACCCCTACTCCCACGAACCAAATGGACTGGGCCTTTGTGTGAGAAAATCATTAGAGAATATCTTCCATGCAAAGAGTTTGAATCTTTTCGGCGCCTTAGCTTTTCATATCCACTTATATCCTTTATTTCTTGACGAAGCATCGGCTTCAGCTAGAACAAAAGAGTGGTAAGCTGATTTAACTGAGGCCCCGTTTGGTTCACGGGAATAGAGGTCTGAAATTGGAATCGGAATGGGCTATTCCGATTCCAACTGTTTGGTTGGGCAGAATCAGAATCCCATTCTCATTCCTGCTGGAATGGCATTCCCCCATTTGAGGGAATGGTCATTCCCTTCCCCTCCCTTGGAAATGAAATCCCATTCGTACTTATTTTAATTCTCATTACTATTCCTATTTGAACCAAACAGATTATAGGAATGGACCATTCTGATTCTTATTCCAGAGAATTTCGGTGCTAATTCCAATTCCAACTACAAACCAAACGGACCCTAAATATTTGTCATCTATAAATGGTTTCCAAAAGCAACTTATCTTGCTTTTCCCATTTCATTTGGGATTACTATAGCGATGGCCGCTCTTTCTACAGATCCTCGAGCATATTGGAATTCTAACTCCAATAGGGAGTAGAAGATCTTAAACTCAGAAATTTTTATTTCTTTCTTTCATGCCTAGTTGGGACCCAAGGATTTGAGAAGACAAAGATGTCTCACCTGATTTTAGTTTCCAAAATATATGAGTTTTCACTTCTTCCTTCATTCTCTCATTAATTGTTTTCCACCAAAATGACCATACGTGAGACTCTCATTTGATAAATATTTAGCTTTTAGGCTAAGTTAGGTTTGAAGGAAAAAGTAGGGAAAGGAAGGGAAAGACAGGTAAGAGTGTCAATGGATGGATTGGACCCCGTCCAGTCCAAAATCAATTTGAACAGATTGGACGAACCAAAAAGACAGTAGATTGGATCAATCTGGTCCAAAATATTTATTAGATTGGATTGGACCTGGTCCATCCATAATAAATTTATACTGGATTTAGTTATATTAAGCCAATATCTGGTCCATTGATACAAGTGTCAATGGACCGGGTTTGGGTTGAAACCAATCTAAATTAAAATAAATTTGAACAAATTGGACAGTCCGAACATTGAATTGGATTGGTCCAAAATGGTCCAAATTATTCATTGGATTGGATTGGACCTGCTCCATTTGCAATGGATTCACA